TTGGGGTGAAAAGAGCCTATTCACTGCCAAGGATTTAAGCCGTTGGGGTAAAAGAAGCCTATTCACTGCCAAGGTTTCAAGCCATTGAGGTGAAAAGAACCCATTCACTATCAAGGATTCAAGCCATTGGGGTGAAATGAACACATTCACTGCCAAGGATTTCAGTCAATCAGTGTCATTGGGATGGAAGGGGCAATGATACCTAAAATAGCTTTGAATTCTTTCGTGTTGCCTGCAAAAGAGGTACAAAGACATAAAATAATTACAGAGAGAGAAAAAAAAACTTTGTTGTTGTAATTTGTACAGTTAAAATTCACTTGCACGAATCACGAGAGGGCAAACCTTGATTAGATTTAGAAAAAAAAAAGGGAGACAAATTTCTACAAAAGGAGCTGAAAATTTGCGAGGGTTCAGCCAAAGAAGTCAAAAAGAAAGCAGATTTTTGTAGCTTGGGATCTTGCTGGTCGTTAATTTAATGTCCACTGTTCCTCATTTGTTCAAGGATACAAGCAGTAGGTTCTTTGGTCATATCCACAAGCAAAGACTTTGTATACAGGCTGTTAAAAAAAAAAAAACTTGCTAAACAACACAGCAACGAACAGGTTGTTGCTGTAAATAAAAATAAAAATAAAAAAAGGACTGTCTTTGTTCATATTTGGTTTTAGCAAAAATCTGCTAAATAAATAAATACATCATATTACAAAAAAGGTATATTGGGTTTTTTTCCTGCCATCATAAAAAACAAGAAAAGTCTATGTTTAGGCTCAAGCTTTTTTTATTTATTTTTTTATTTATTTTTTATTTTTAAAATGGTAGTAACAGCAGAGGAAAAAAATGGTGATATGGATAACAGGCATATTGCATACTTGATAAAAGAACTTGTTTTTTTTTTAAGAAAAGAAATCTTATGTCTTAAAAAAAATGTAGAGATATGAGTCTTGTTAGGCCAAGAGATGCTATTGCATGCAGAATTTATGAACGAGACATCCATGAAGTTGGTATAGGTGTTATAAAAATAAAAAATAAAAACTGGTAGCAGTAGGAAAAAAAAAAAGGTGAAATGAAAGCAACAAATATTATGATGAAGGTATAAGGGAAGCATACCTGATTAAAAGGAATTTGAAGGAATTCTTTTGTGCCTTCTTTAAAGTGTAAGAAGAACATCTTCTGCTGGGAAGAGAAGAAAGACAATGGCCAGACAACTTCTGATGGAAATAAAGATTTGCTGGAAACAAAAAAAAAATTTATTGGGAGAAAGAAGGTTGCAGGAAAAAAAAAATCTATTGTTTACATGCACGGATAGGTGTCACATAAAGCAAAAAAGTCTTGCTTAAGAAAAGAGATAGTGATCTCCTAAAATACTTCAAAGAAGCAAGAGTTTATGTAGGATTTGAAACACTGCAAAGAAGCAAGAGTTTGTGTAGGATTAGAAATCCTACCAATGCCAATCCATCCTATTTCATTTAGACATACTCCTAATATATATATATATATCTATTGTAAAAAAAATCTGATCCTAACAAAAAAAAAAGAAGGTAAAGTGGCAGGTTGGTAAAAAGCCCACATAGAATGAAGAAAGAGGCCTACAAAAGAAAAAGGCCCAATTAAATCTTGGACCTTACCCATCAATATCCACGATGGCCTAGAAAAAAATCTGCTGTAAAAAATATATATATATATATATTGGTGGCAAGTTGGAGGTCCACAAAAGGAAAGGTCCAATTAAATCTTGGACCTTACCGAAGACCCTTATGGAAAAAAAAGAAAAGAAAAAAAGAAGGGTTCAAATCCACAAAAAAGGTCTATGTCAAAAAATAAAAATAAAAGACTATGGACTATAAAGAGCAATTAACCCATAAAAAAAGAAAGAGGATCAATTAAATTCTTTGGGGGTCCATGTATGACATAAAAAAAAAGAAAAAAAAAGGCATACAAATTCAAAGGGGCCGAAATTGATGAAAGCCAAGAAATAATCCAATTTATGATCTAAAGAAGGCCTAAATAAAAGCGCCAAGTTGTTGTGATTTGCACAATTAAAAAATTCACTTGCACAAATCACGATAGGGCATTTGTTGGCACATAAATTTCAACTAAATTTATGTTAAAATTTCAAATACAGTCAATTAGTCAATGACACGTATAGAGCCTATGATAGAAATGTTGTAGGTAATCACTTCCTAAAAAGATCAATATGATCTGTGGAAGTGTATAAATAAAACGACGTTGTATCTCAACGACGTTATTCAAGATGTTCAAATGATATGTGGAGCCTACAAAAGATGACACCTGTAAAGTCTACAGCAAGGACACCACACAGGATGAAATCCCAAAGATCAATTCGGTTAATCAGATATACGATTAATCATATAACACTATTATTCAAAATTCAAATGGCGCTATCATTCAATTTGAAATTCAAATTGAGAATGTGACACTCTTATCACTTGGATGTCCCTCTATAAATATGAGGACCATCACACAAGAGAGGATGAGAAAAATCAGAAGTGAGAAGATCGAAGAGAGAGAAAGAAATCAAGAGCTAAAGAAGTCGTTACAAAAAAGAAGAAAAGAAACCCAGAGAACTCAAGAGTATACACTACAAACACAGAATGACAATGAATAGGTAAAGGATTCCAAGCCCAAGAATTGTACTTTGTATTCAAGGGTTTAAAACCCATAACAATTTCAATAAAATATTTATTTTTCTTAAATTGTCTTCTGTTATTTATTTTGTTCTTCATTAATTGGAGGTTTCATTTAAATAAAACATGTATGTAACAACCTGAATAACATCTTTTACGAAAATTATACGATAGTCTACTTTTGAATACGTCAAGCTAAATTAATATAAAATAGTAAATTGATACTTGGAAAAGGATATTTAATTTTATAATTGTATGTATTAAAGTGTAATTTAATTTATAATTATGGATCATTAATAATAATAATAATAATATAAATAAATATCTAATTATATAACTATACGTGCTAAAGATGTAATTTAATTTGGTATTAGGTTATTAAAAGTATGATTAATATATTGTTTGGGGCCAAAATAACACAATTATGAAATTATAACTATGGAATTATGATAAAAGTGGGGCCACAAAAGAAATATGAGAAATGTGGACAATTCGCTGGTAAACTAAGAGAAAAGCCACCTGTTAAGCCTAGTATGTAGGGGGAGTGAATCATCTATGAGGATGATAATTTAGGAGTGAGTCACTGTGTGAAGCTCAAGTATATTGAAACAGCAAGCTAAGGCAACAAAAGGTAAATCAACGAAAATAGTAGTAAAGTAGAGAAGTTTTCCTTGTCGATTATCTCGATGGCTGTTTGTTGAGAGTTATATCATATCTTGAATTAATTATTATAAAATATTTTGTGTAAATTATGTTTATAAATTATATTAATATTTTTAATTATATTATTTATTTTATGAATTTTATTTTATATAATAAAGAGAAACTCATGAATATAACTATTTATTAAATATATTTTTGAGCAACTATTTTTTAAGTACTACCATAGATGTCTCATGTTTTGGAGATTTAAATAACTATTAGTCATTTGATTAGTCACTTTGTGATCCTGTGTCTGTCATGGATCTACTAATCCTCTTATTTTTGGTGCTGAACAAAGTGCTGTGTCGACCTAAGTGCTACACTATGGTAAGAGCCACCTCTAGAATGCATATGAGCCACATTTTGAGTCCACATGTCTGTTTTGTTCCGTTCTGTATAGCAGTTATGATTATTTGTTTATATAATTTTTGTATTATACGTCAAATGATTTCCGTATTATATATTCTGTATTTTAATACCAAACTATTATCTGTTTAGCTCAATAATTATCCATCATGATTTTTATGCACTCATGCTCTCAGTATAATATTTCTTACTCTGCTATGTGCTTATAGTTGTTAACTACTTTTAGGTGACAGGTTAAGATCATCGCATGGGTAGGCACAAAGCACTTTATAAACGTAGTTCAACTCTAACAATGTAATTAAATAAAAACTCCAATGTATATATATTTTTGTTATGAATAAATAAAGTTTTGGGTACCTTTTTATTTTATTCCGCTGCACTATTAATTTGTTATGATTTCAGTTATTATCTTGTTGTGACGCCGAACCTCTGGGTACCGGGTTTGGGTCGTGACAGTGTAATTAACAATCTGGAATACAGATCGGAAATAGAAACTTACTATTCAAATAATCAACATTGTTTAGTCCAAAAACTAAACAGTGGATATTTGTAACATAAAATTTTGAAATGTATTGAAACACATTATGTTTCAGAATTTGTGTCTACAGTCTTCACTAAATTTTTTAGTATTCTAAGTAATTTTTTTTTTTATAATTTTTAGATACACTGAACATAAATACATTTAAAAAATAAAATATTTATGAAAAAAATCCTTAGAAAATTCACTAAATACCAAAAATATAAAAAAAAAATTGAGAATTCAGTTCATTTTTCGTATTTTTATATATTTATTGATTTTTTTAAATATTTTTTTTATAAATATTTTATTTTTTAAATATATCTAAGTAAAGTGTATTTAAAAAAAAAAATTACTTAAAATTTTAAAAATATTCACTGAAAATAAAAATATAAAAAAAAATAAAAAACTTAATTTTTAAAAAACTAAATTTAAAAAATTGGAATCAAACAGAGTAAATATAATTATATCAAAATTTTAATATTATTTTTTCAAACTTCATGAATGTGGTGTTATTTATCAATAAAAACTTCTATCCGTGAAATTAGAAGAGCCGCTATGCTGCATAAACCTCTTAAAACCCTAGAACTCACCATTGCGAACAGAAGAACTTGTAGAAACGCTGCACCTGTTAACAAAACAAACCCCCAAATCGCATCAAATTTCCCCAAATCCCAACTATCTCAAAAGCCCTAGAATCAGCTATTCATAGCTAATATATATGTGTGTGTGTGTGTGTGTGTGTGTGTGTGTGTGTGTGTGTGTATAGTACTATGAAAACTGTTTCAGGAAAAGTCATATCTACAAAGACAATCTCTCTCTCCAAATCAGCCAAAGTTCTCTCCAACTTCGTCTCCGCCGAGACCGGAGGTTCCCAAGCAGTGTCCTCATACCTGACTCGCGCTTCGGCTTCGTTCAACGCTTTGGTTCAGTTCCACAAAGAGCTCAAGAACTCCAAGTTCGATCACATAGAGAGTCCAAACAACGAAAACCCAGTGAAGTATGAGCATAAATCTGAAGAAAACGAAGTGGGTTTGACCGTTGAAGACAGTGTGGGAAGTCATAGTGCGAGAAAGACGCATAAACAGAGCAGGAAAAAGAATGATAGTTTTGTGATTGAGGAGGTCGGAGAGGTGTTTGATTCGGCGGAGCACGGTGGTTCAAAAAAGAATAGGAAAAAGAGGAGATTAATTTGAGGCCGAGATAGCAATGGGTTTGAATTCTTTGTTGGTAATTTGAAAAGGGTTTTGTTTTGGAGAGCAGGCAATGGCTAAGGGCTTGTTTGGGTATGGTTGTTATGGTAAATTTTTGATGTAATAGCAGGGGAACTTTTTTTTCCTTGTCGATTATCTCGATAGCTGTTTGTTGAAATGGAATTTCTTTTTGATGATTTATGATATGTGTTTTCTTCTAGATAGACATTAATGCAAATTGTTTGGTGGATTTTGAATGGCAATCTCTAGATAAACTGCAATTTTGTAATGGATGATTATGTGACAATCAGGATAGTTGAAATTGATCTTGATTTCAGACGTGCAATGAGTGTCATGAGAAAACATTACACTGGCAGTAAATCTTGTTTTTGTTTGGATACTTTTTAACTAGTTGTTTTTACTGCTGGCTTGATATTTATGCTATTTGATGTTCATATGCATATCTAAAGCAGAAGGGAATAACTGGCTAGGCTAAAGGGGGAGTTGTCGGTTATAGTTTTCCTTGTGATGGTCCAGGATGAGGTGGTACTTGTGACTGTTTACAGATTCTGTTTCATGACACGAACTTTGTACTACATCTACAGGTATTTCTGGTACTATATTCTTGATTGCTAGATGTTCTCAGTTGTTTCTCTGTTTTATTGCATTAAGACTTAAGTGGAAAAGTTTTAACTGCAATGGTTATCCTGTCCTGAATATAATAAGATCTGTTATATTAGGCTCGGTTTGGCAAGTGGGTAAAATAGCTAAAAAGCTATTAAAAAAGCCAAAAAGCCATACAAAAGTCATATTCCTTTCCATTCTCTCTATTTTTTTTTTGCATGTTTATCCGTAAAGAGCTAAAAAGCCACTCCCAAACACTTAGGCCCTGTTTGTTTATGTTTTCAAACTAGTTTTCTACATACAGGTTTGAGTATGATGTTTGGATAGAGTTGTGGAATTAATTTTTCACAACTCTGCAGAGAACTCTGTCAAACAGAGCGCGTTTTTCAATTTTTTTTTTTCAAAATTTGGCCTAACCGGTCGTCCGGCTGGTTGACCGGAATAGTGATTTTTTTTTTTTTTTTTTTTTTTTGCAATTGATATGTTAATATTTATATATTCGAAAAAAATATTTTCTAAATTTTTAAAATTTTTTTTAAGTGTTTTAAAATAATTTTGAGTTGTATGTTTAGTTATGAGTTGTAAGTTTGTGTATCAAATATCAAATGCCACATCAAATATTTCCCACTCAATACAAAACTCTTTTCAAAACTATTTTTAAAACTCTCACCAAACAAATTTTTTACACACAAATCAGAATTCCAAACCTTACAAACTCAAAATACAACTCATACTCTCAAATCATAATTACAAAACTCAACCAAACGCAACATTAGTTTTTTTCATATTAATATTCTAGCCAAAAAGTCACTAAAAAAATCACTTCTCAAATGAACCCTTATTGTCCCTTGTCAGAAGAACTAGACACAACTCAAAATGTCAAATCCACACACAAAGACCACATTATCCCCATAGAAATGTCAACAAAGAAGTGTACTTTCAAATTATTCATTTTCTTTTTTGAACATGTAACTGGAGGCTGGATTTCTTAATTTTCCGCAAATGGGAATGCAGTCTTCTTAAACAACCCTTTCTTTGTTTTTCTCATGAGTGAACCCAGTTGGGAGAGGATAAGAAAACCAAATGTTTAATCCATAATGTTTTCAAGAGACTTATAAGGATGGACTTGTTAATTATGAATCCAAACTCTTTTCCCTTGTGTATTGTGCACTCATATATTCAGAATTTGAAATTGTACACACCCACACCCACACCCACACCCACACACAATATGCATGTAAGGTATATATGCTTTTGGTTTATTCCATAGGCAAGTTCAAACTTGGTATTGTAGATCTATTTCATGGCACGGGGTAGCAAGCATCACAACTATGCAAGATACAGTGATTTGAATTCACATTTCTGCTCCCGAGATGTTACATGGTGAAGCATTTTTTTTATTGTAGTAAGCTTGTTAAGAATTTTGATTTGTGGTGGTCTGTAATGGTGTATGGAATCTCTTTTTTAAACAGCCTTTATTTATTTTTTGGATGACAAAAGAGACTCTTATAGAGAAGATAAGGAAAGGAACAAATAAAGGATGACCAGGAGCCTGAATCTACAATATTCATGTAGATGCTAGGCCATCTTGTATGAAGTGTTGAAGTATGATGGGCAATCAGTTGTGTGCTAGGTACTTTGTTAGGCACCAAGTTAACTGCTTAGTCATTATGATTTAATGGCTTTAAAGATGCTATTGATTTAAAGGAAATTTTGTTTTTGAAATTCTTGGAGGTGCATATCCGGCTGTATGGACTCTATGAACTAAGAGGAGAAACTAGAAAGATAAAAGGAAGGATCAGCCGGAGCTTCAATGTAGAGTCTGTTCCATTTATGTTGGCCCCTTATTTTTGCGGTGTTGATATATGATGGGCAGTCAGTTGCATAGTGTAGGTGTTTTAGTAGGCACCAAGTTATTGCCTAATTCGGAATGCATTTTCATTAAATGGCTTTAAAGATGCTCGCAATTGAAAGAGAACTATCAATTTATCATTTTTGAATTACCTTGAAGCTTTTGTTTTTCTGTATAGGATGATTTATTTGCTTAGATCTCTAAACATTTACAGTGCTATTTCTTGTGTCAATAAACTTGAATCAACATTATTGTTATTTCTATGCACTCAATCCCAAGAGGGAGATGAAAAGTTATTTTGTCCTTAGGCTAACATAGATATTGTAGAAATTTAATGTATAAAGAGAAAAAGAGAATTGTATTATTGATTGATGTTTGTAATTGTTATCTATTACAATGATTCATGATTCCTATATATAGAAGAGGGTGAGTGTGTAGTAGGTAAGAAGTAGGTGAAGTGGAGGTGGTAGTGGTGTAGTGGGTTAGGTTTAGTGGAGTAGGTTTAAGTGGGTGAAGTAGGTGGAGAGTAGGTGGATTTTAACAGATATTTATTATAAACCAAATCTTGGAGACCAAATAATCTTGGACGCCAAAAAACTAAAAATTAGGAAACAACCAACTAGACTAATTCTTGAAAAATAAATAACTTAAAATCAGGAAAAGAAAATCAATGCAAATTAAGAAGCTTAATAATTCCAAGATATTACAAGGTTCCTAGTAAAATATTATATAAAAAAATATAATAAAATATAACCATTACAAAACAATATGAGTGAGAGATCATTTTTCCGCAGGACAAAACATCTTGTGATTGCTTCTCATAAAGAAAACCAGCCTCCTGGGAGTCATCAGCAGACCAAATAAAGATACCATGAAGTTTATTCTGACTTCTAAGCATACGGCAGGCCTCAAAGAACCCATCTTCAGGCTTCAATCCACCACTTCCGTCAGTTCCAAAGCTCACTAAAATTTTACCTCCTTCGTAGTTAGAGCTTTGAGTCTCAAAATATTGAATAAACTGCTGAACAGTTGTCCCATTATCATAGGTATAAAATTGGAAGTTCACATAGTCTATTAGATACCCATACTTCTTCCATAGAGCCAAGTAATGTGGCTGGACAGAATCATCCTCAAATGGTGCTATTGATGTGAATGACACTATCTTATTTTCTTTGAGGTAGGACAGTAGTTGTCCAATGCACTCAGCAAATGTGTCAGGATCGGCATTGTAATGTTCATAATCAATGTCAATTCCATCCAAATTGTATTCTGTGACTATCTGAGTGATTGAACTAATAGCATTGCTAACCCAAGAACTTGTTGATGCAGGGCTGAAGTAGACAAATTGACCGTTAACAGAATCACCAGCAACACTCATCGCTACCTTGACATTTGGATGGTCAGCCTTGATGGAAGAAATCTGAGATGGGTTGAGGTTTTCTTTGTCCCAGTAGGCACTGAAGTTACCGTTAGTGGGAGAAGGAGAGGATGCGTTTGTGTAGTCAATGGCAAAGGAAAGAATGAAGTGGAAATCAACATTGGGATTAATGGGTACATCTGGAAAACTGACATTCTTGCCCCCAGCTCCAATGTATGTTAAACTGGAGCTTTGAGTTTGTTGGGGTGACAAAGAGGACTTGAAGGATGAACAAAGAGACGAGGAGGTTTGATGAAGCCATGGTTGATGGGATTTGCAGAGAGCTTCTGGTTACTGAGGTGGATTTATGTGAGTGCATTGATTTAAATTATTCAAAGTATAATCTTTATTTTATTTCTATATGCAGGCCAGATCGTACCATGCATTTTATGTCTTCAAGTTATTATATGCTTACAAGGGAATTGTTTTTGTGCAGGTTTCTTGTTTTACTTGCAACCCCGTTGACAGCAATCAAGCTGACTGCCTTTTGTTTTATGTTTTGATAACAGCAAATGGCATGAAGTGGGAAGGTGAGTCTATTATCTAATTGATAAATAGATGTATTTTTTCTATAGTCATTTGTATATTGGGCTGGCCGGCTGAGAAATTGCACTTTTAGGTTGTGGTGAGTAAACCGAATCTTCAATTTTTGTTTAATGCAGGCAGTTTGATTATTTTATTTTATTTTACTTTTTCACATTTGTAGGAATTGTATTCACCATGAAATTAACAAGCATAGTCCAAATGCGTGGGATTATGTTCTAATATTGTGTTTGGCAGGGGATTCTTCGTTTCTCAAATCAATTTTTGTCAGGCTCAATACACTTTTATTTATACTATCGTATCTCAAGATTATTGTATTTGGAGATTTCAATCATAGTGTGGCTCACAGTACATTGAAAACAAGTGGATAAGAATTTTGGAGACAAATGATATATTGATTTCTATGCATGAGTGTCACCCTAACAATTCCTTTGGTGTGCCTTTATCTTTTTCATTCCCTTGTGAAGACAAGAAGGGAACTTGTGAGCCCCCAAGGGATAAGACGAGTGACTAAGGTCATGTTTGCTTAGGGTCATATTCCTGGAATACGATGTTAAGAAAATTAATGCCCAAACTAATAGTTCACCCTGGCTTAGTATTCATACGGGAAGTAGGATACAAAATGACGGATCAACCAGAGGTTCAAACTAATCTGTTAAGTTATAAAATTACTAAGATTTTTTCAACCTTCCATCATAATCTTTGGTCAATCCAAACATAGAACATGATACACAATCCAATGGGATTGATAATTCTAGGGCTAACAGTTTTAGGAATGCTAATCGTATTTAGTTCAGTTCGCCCAAACAAACATGGCTCAAAGGGACAACACTCAAATCTACAATCCCAAAGAAGGGTCATGAGCCATGTGATTCTCTCTCCTTAGATTTTTTTTGTTCTTCGATTTCATTGTACTCTTAATTATTAGATTATGCTTTGAAATTTATGCGTCTTAAATTTTTTACATAAGTTTATAGTTTGGAGCATATTATGACTGAGAGAAAGAGGAATTTAAAGATAGAGTCCTCGGTCAGTCCCGGGTGTATTAAATTTTTTTGTCTGTGAAAACTTTGCACGTATTTGGAAATAAAACATATATTAACACGTTACTACCTGAGTACACAATGGACTGAATTGGTTCAGTCTGGGCTTGTGGGCTCTCTACAGTTCTCATATGATCTGTTCATCTTTTAGTTTTTCGTGAAAAAATTAGATTGATTTAATAGTTGAAGCCATATGATTTTGTTAGAATTTCCCATCTTTACCTTCACCTACTCCACTACACACTCCACTTCACCTACCTCCACTTCACCACACACTCCACTTCACCTAACCCACTATCACCTCCACTACACCTACTACCACATTTTCTTCTATATACATTTTCTTCTATATATAGATTGTATAGGAATTGTAATTTATTAATCTTGTAATCAATCAATCAATAATATACATTAATTTTAACAGATTTCGACTTGTGTTAAAAAAATTAGACTGTATTTTTAAAATCGTACTTATTGTCAATTTTTAAGACAAATATGATGACATAATGTGATTGTTGTTTCGTTTCATGGATGATCTAAGCACATGAGTTTATAAAATGAACGGATCATCATTGAAATGGGACCAATAGTGGATATAAGAGCCCAAACTACACTGGTTCAGTCCAAATTTAGACTGAGGACCAATTATCTTTATCTTGAAAGAGTTTGAGGAAAATTGAGGAGGAAATGACTTGTAATATGAAACAAAAAATTGAAACTTTGTTAGCCCCTCATGATAATGCTAAAGGCTGTTCTCCATCTGTGATTTTGTTTGGCTAATCGTGCTGTAGTTTGCAGAGAACCAACTCTTATCTTCTTGCTTGTTGATACCTTGCAAAAGTTCTACCAGGCCACCGCAAGGCAAGAGTTATAAGGTATCTTCTCAAGGTTAATATATGCATTTTGATGTAAAAGAAGTCAGGCAATTCATGAAATTTTCTGTAAGAAGACTTCTCTAATCCCACTTCAACACATGCATGTTTGTGTAATGCACACATACGAATATATCTCTACACACACACTGCCCAGCTAACTCAAATGTCAGAAAGGAGTGGGTGCTCGTCTAATGTTGAACACCTAGTTGTGCTTCTATATTTGGAAATTATGTTGAAATGTTAGACACTGTCAGTGAATGATTACTTTGGGTGAAAAGGCAACTACATATGAATGTGTTTAAATATGTAATTCAAGTGATGTATAAATCTCTCTCTCTCTCTCTCTGTCGCCTGGTGTAACAGTTGCCATTAAAATTCTAGCTCCACCTTTGTGTCAAGAAACTTGAATCAATATTATTGTTATTGATCCCAGGGATTCTCAATAAATTTTCTTTTGAAAAAGCCCTTGCAGGATTTGCAGATGTCACAAGTCAAGCTCATATTTTCTTTTCAATGAAAATAAATAAATAAATAAAAAACCATTACAAAACAATATGAGTAAGAGATCATTTTTTGCTGGCCAAAACATCTTGTGATTGCTTCTCATAAAGAAAACCAGCCTTCTTGGAGTCATCGGCAGACCAGATAAAGATACCATGAAGTTTATCCTGACTTTTAAGCACACTGCAGGCGTCAAAGAACCCATCTTTAGGCTTCAAGCCACCACTTTTATCAGTGCTAAAGCTCACTAAAATTTTACCTCCTTTGTAGTTAGCGCTTTGGGTCTCAAAATATTGCAAAAACTGCGCAACAGTCGTCCGTTTATCATAGGCATAAAATTGGAAGTTCACATAGTCTATGAGATGCCCATACTTACTCCATAGAGCCAAGTAATGTTGTTGGACAGAATCATCCTCAAATGGTGCTATTGATGTGAACGACACAATCTTTTCTTCTTTGAGGTAGAATAGTAGGTGTCCAATGCACTCAGCGAATGTATCAGGATCAGCATTGAAGTGTTCATAGTCGATGTCAATTCCATCCAAATTGTATTCTCTGACTATCTGAGTGATTGAACTAATAGCATTACTAACCCAAGAATTTATTGATGCAGGGCTAAAGTAGACAAAGTGATCGTTTACAGAATCACCGGCAAGACTCATAGCTACCTTGACATTTGGATGGTCGGCCTTGATGGAAGAAATCCGAGATGGGTTGAGGTTTTGTTTGTCCCAGTAGGCAATGAATTCACCATTAGTGGGAGAAGGAGAGGACGTGTTTGTGTAGTCAATGGCGAAGGAAAGGATGAAGTGGAAATCAACGTTGGGATTAATGGGTACATCTGAGAAACTGACATTTTTGTCATCAGCTCCTATGTATTCTCTGAAGAGCTTTGAGTATGCTGGGGTGACGAAGAGGACTTGAAAAATGAACAAAGAGACAAGGAGTGTTGATGAAGCCATGCTTTGATGGGATTTGCAGAGAGTTTCTGTTTACTGAGGTGCATTTATTCAAGTGCATTTATTTAAATTATTCAAAGGATAAATTTTTCGTTCCATTTCTATATGCAGGCCATATCATACTATAAATTTTATCAATTATTATATGCTTACGAGGGCTATTTTTTTAATTTTAATTTTATTTTTATTTAGTTTTTGCAGGTTTCTTCTCTTACCTATGACCCTTTCAACAACGCAAAAACTGTCTTTTGTCTTGTGTTTTGGTAACGGCAAATGGCATGAAGTGGGAAGGTAAATCTAGGCTGTTTTGAAAAGATGGTTAAAAATTGATTATTTAGTTTTTTTTTTTACTTTTTGACTTTTTTTTGTGAGAGGAAGTGGGTTAAAAGCCACTTTCCAAAATACCCTCTATTATCGAATTGATAGACTTATCTATTATGTCTTTAATCATTTCTATATTGGAGGCTCAGTCTGGTTGGCCGGCTCAAGAATGTACTTTTAATTTATGGTGAGTAAACCAAAGCTTCATTTTTTGGGTTTTATGCAGGCAGTTTGAATATTGTATTTGGAACAGGATTCTTCATTTCTTAAATCAATGTTGGTCTGGCCAGATACACTTCCAGTTGTATGATCGTGTCTCGAAATTATTGTATTTTGTGATTTCGACCATGGTGTGGCTCAGAATATAATTTCGGGATTTCGACCTTGGTGTGGCTCAGAATACATTGAAAACAATAGGGTGAATATTTTTGAGACACAGGATATATTGATTTCTATGCATGGAGTGCCACCCTAAAATTCCTTTGGTTCAGTCTCGGCCTGTGTTACGGTTCCCATTTGATCTGTTCATCTTTTAGTTCTTTGTGGGTAGATCATTCATAAATAAACAAATAAATTAATTAATTCAATAATTGAAAGCACATGATTCCAACTTGTGTTCAAAAAAATAGATGATATATTTTTAAAAGGAAAATTTATTAGAATTTTTTTTTCCAAGTGTTTGTATCTCAATTAGTTTATAAAATGTTTTTATATTCTAATAAGTCTTATTATTTGGACATTTGATTTATCAAATTTTAATTCTCATATTTAAGGTATTTTATGGATATTTTTATCTTTACAAATATTTTTTGAACGGTTAACAATTTAGTGATGTATACATTTATATTTTATAATGTAAATATTCACATTGATGATATGAACATTCACATTACGGAACATTCACATTTTAAATGTGAATATTATTAAGAGTATTTTGATAAGTATGTTACTCATAAAATTTATTAAAACATAAGAAAATAATAATATAAATTAAATAGAATATAAGTAATTAAAAAGAGATTTCTGAAAAAGTATCTAATTTTAAAATCATATCGATTTATAAAATGAGTGAATTAGATCATTTAAATAGGCTCATGATGAATATAAGGGCTCAAACTGCACTGGTCCAGTCCACTGTAGGACTCGAGGCCAATTATCCTTATCTTGAAAGTGAGTGAGGAAAATTGATGAGAAAATGACTTGTAACGTGATTTTTTTTTTGTTAGGCTTATTATTTTTTTTTAAAAAAAAAAAATTAGATGAGTTTTTGTTTATTTTTAGTGAATTATTTTATATTTTAATCAATTATTTTTACTTTTTAGATGGACTTAATCAAAATATATTTAAAAAGTAAAATAATATGGCTAAAATACAAAATTTGAGTCCATTTTTGTTTTGGTTTTCATTTATTGTAAGTAAACAAATATGACAGAAGTTCAACAAGAACAAATGAAAATCCATTCAAAAATAAGTTATGAGAATTGTAACCAAACAAAGCTATAGCTGCCATGACAATGCATCCCTTTTCTCTTTCCTGCTTTCAACTTCACATGTTGAATTTAGGATTATTTACATTAAGACTCATTCAACTATTAATGAATATTACTTTACCTCTCTCATCTATGAACTTGTATATTTTGACCCCATCAACAATGAAAAATCTAGAAATCTCTTAGATATTGATTTGTGATTATGTATCAATTTTAAGCAATAAACAAAAATTTCCTAGATATTGATTTGTGATTATGTATCAATTTTAAACAATAAACAACAATCACAATCAAACAATCAAGACAAAACGACACAACGATTTTACGTGGAAAAATCACAATTGGAGCACCTCTAATTGTGATAAAAAAATCACGGACAACAGTCACAAAACAATCCACTAAGAAGATATAAAGGAATTACACAGGTATACTCTCAATTATCTAGCGAATCCACGCCCGAATTAAACCAACCCCTATGTGTCTCTTCCAACCCTGTCTTCATCTCGGAATTGTCTTGACGATGAGCCACTCCAGAATCCACCAAAGCTTCAGGCTCAAATTCTTCAGAATTCACCGAAGAACAATTCTCTCTTTTGTATAGAATGAACAACTCTCTCTTTTCCATAAGTGGCTTCGCTCGAGCCACATAACCTTTGCTCGAGTGTACATTCATCATTCTCAGGTTTTTTGCCAGACGAAGCATTCGCTCGAGCAAGAACTCCTTCGCTCGAGTGAGCAAGGGCGGACATGTAACTTCGAATGCAATTTTGCATTTTGCTTCGGGGGCGCTGCCCCTCGACCCCGTCTGGGCGCTGCCCCCTCGACCCCCGCGAGCTGACCGGGCAGCTCGATCCCCGTTATAATCAGTGAAGTGGCAATCTTGAAAGCATTAACATCACAAACTTCTCTGCAAGGCACAATTCGGGTTGAATTCGCATCTAAAAACGCATAGCCTCACTAAAATAAAAAGTGCGAAAGCCTAACAATCGGGATTGCCAAGAATAAAAACCTAACAATTTCCCCCTTTGGCAATGCCGTGACAAAACACACCTAACAAATAAAATCCTAATTACCCCAACCCATTTCAGCCAACAAATACAAACTTCTTTTTCAATGTTAAGATCTGCAGAAGAGCTATTAGTGCCACAATCTCCAAAACAACTATTAGTCCCACAAGAGTATATAAAAAAACAATAAGCATATGACTAGATTATCCTGAAGCATTTGAAGCATGAGATGGAAAAACATGAATAGATGCGACTTGGAGATTTTAAGAAAACCTAAAAACTAAGACACATGCACCCGACACATGACATGAATACATGAAATCTTAAGACACATGCACCGGACAACATTTCTTCCTTTTTTTGTCACAAATTGACAAAGGAAGCTCAATCAACTAAAGTAAGATCAGAAACCACACAAGCAATGATAAGATTATGTAAATATCAGGAGCATGCAAGAAAGAAATAATAAAGAAGCAGTGCATAGCATCATGCAAACCAACTAAAGCCAATCTCCCTTTCACTCAAAGCAACCACAAACACTGTACAGAAAACAATGAAGAAGATGAAACCGACAAAAATAATATGGTGGAGCAAGCAAGAAATCTCATATTTGTACCTTAAAACACACGAGATTATCCAAGAAGCATAATTACTTGAAAATACAATGTGCACAGCCTCTAAAAGATTCCTCATAAAAGAAAGTGATGCATTATGTGAAAAGCATAGATCCCATGAAAAAAGTGTGTGTGTGACTCTTGGAGTTCGACAAACACTAGATTCAAATCCTGGTAATGATCAGATAGCTGAACCTCCGTCAAGAGAATCTAAGCACAACTACGGAAAGTCAAACCATTAGGAATCAAGAGTTATTTGGTGAGTAAAGGCGGAGGCTCCCCCTCAATCAATGTATCCTTTATTTTTTATTTTCACATCTTTTTTTTTTCTTTCTTTCTTTTGCACATTTTTTTTTGTTTCTTTATTTTGCACATGTTTGTTTTTTTGTTTGCACAGTCATTGGCGGCTGACACGCTCAAGAGTATGGAGACCGAACCAGAGAAGCATGGATATAATAAGGATGGCCTGGTTGGTGACTCTGAGGTAGCCTTTTCCTCATGTCTGGTCTACAAAGAACAGATGGGAAAGCCGAGGAGATGCAAAAAGATGGAAGGTGGTTTAAGAGACTCAACATCACCCATGATATGCTAGTATAGGTCAATTCCTCTAGAAAAGCAAAAGATACAATGCCAAAAGTCCATAAAAAAAAAAAATCACTAAGGCGGAAGACTCCGATGTTTGCTAATCCAATAGTGTGTACAGAATGAGACATACTAATCAAAGATTACACACTTCAAAATGAGTAATGACCACAGAAAGCACACACATATTAACATGTAATTGATATTCTCATCAATTCCAATATGCACTAAGGACCACTCAAAAATTTCAAGCTTGCAAAACCATACTAAGAAAATCTCTTTGGATTTTATTTATTTGTTTATTTATTTTTTCTTCTTAACCAAAGCAAGACAAAAAAACGAATAAGCACACTTTTTTTTTTCCTCATTAAAAAAAACACACAGAAACCCAAAAACTAAAACAAATAAACAAATTAACACAAGTTAAGTTTTCTCACCCAAACTGCTTAAGTATGAACAAAGTTGTAAGCATTGCGGTTCTTGGGTAGTGTCTTAACGCTGTGGTTCCCTTTGCTTTCAATGAGAACCCGTCTCGACTTGGTTTCTAACTTCCTATTTCTAGGTCTAGGCAAATACAAACTCGTTCCATGTTTGGTCTCAAGCTGATCAAAATAATGAGGTCTAATGTGACCTTTAACCTCATTACTACCAATGAAGTGTCTCCTACCCCACGAGATGTTGAAATTTTTTTCATTTCTATGAGACACTCTCCCATGCAACTTATAACAATAATGACGAATATGACTATGCATACCACAATGATGGCAAATAAAAACAGGGTGTACCTTCTTTTCTTTTACCTTACCAACTCTAGGAAGCTTGAGAAGTATATCCTTATGTTGAATGTTTTGTTCTCCCTTTCCTTGAGTTCTTGTATCATGAGATATAGATGCACTCTGTTTTTGCTCTTTGTTATCACCAAAGCCAATGCCACTTTTGTCATAACACATATGTTGAGACCCAATAATATCCTCCAAAGTCTTTGATCATTTGTTCCAAAGACCAATAGTAGCTATAGCACACTT